TTCAACTTTTTTTGTTGTTGCTATTCATTTGACTTATTTTCTATTCTGCTCGCTATCTCGGAGGTACCGAGCAAAATAGCCGAGCAGAATACTGCCATTCGGCCTCTGAGAATAGGGGCGAACGGCAGCGAGTGAGCTGCCGAAGCGTCGGCTCAGCCAATCCAGATGTTGTATTGGCTGAGTAGAACTCCTTGTGCACTTCGGCACAGCTGAACATGCAGAGCGGTTGAAATCAGCTGTAAGAGGCTGAAGTGAATAGCCGAACTGCGTTCGGCTCTGTTCACTTCGGCTTGGTTATTTACTGGGCTGCCTTCGGCAGCTCAGTGAATAACCCCCTATGTATTTAACCAGGCCTTAAGAAACTGGACTATAAGCGAAAATAAGGACCATCTGGTCTTAGTAAGTGCAGAAACAGCTGACACCTGGACATATAGAGTATTCAATTTGAGGCCTAAATCCAAGCCTATATGCAGAAATTCTAGAATGTTAGTGATCTCTGGAGTTGTTGGATCAAAGTTCTTCTCTCTAGCAGCCGCAATAAATGTTTGCCATGCTTGCTGGTAGAATTAGTAGACTCTTTTCTAACCTTCATTAACTTCAACTTCTCTGGTGTTGGGTATAGGGATGGACCCTGATAAAGTAGGTCCCGCCAGGTCGGTAGCGGTAGGTTTGCAACCAACAATTATTTTCATTGATTAGTTGGCCGATTATTTTGTTTGATTGATCTATTTAAAAAAATTTAAATCTAGGATGTGAGTCAGTATTAGAGGGATGGGATGTTTGTACGAATTGAGAGGTGCTGTGCCTTCTAGTGCCTTGGTTCTCAACTGGTGGGTCGTGACCCAAAAGTGGGTCCCGACCCCATGATCAGTGGGTCGCCACCTGTCTTCCACTTTTCTAGGTGAGAAGCTCCTTAGCCTCCCCCCTAGCGCAGCACTGTCCGTTATGGCGCCAGGCTGCCATTCACAATATGCTGCCCGGCACCAAGTGTCAGCTTGAGGTGGGGTGGGCTGCAGCTATGGCTGCCAGGGAGCTCCACGTATTGCTTACAACTCCCTCGCGTGCCCTGTAGAGGTGCCTGGAGTGGCATCACATTCTGGCTCCCGGCAACTCTACATGGCACACAAGGGAGTTGCACAAGCAATGCATATATGGATGGAGCTCCATCACAGCACATCAGCTCACACTGGACCCCAGGATGGGGATTTTCTCCAGTTCTCGTACTGTAGGGAGACTGAGGGGGATCTTTAAAGAAAAAGAGTGTGTATGTATGCGTGTATGTATGCGTGTGTGTGTGTAAATGTGTGTGGGAGATTGTGTCTGTGGTTGTGTGTGTCAGTCAATGTTTTTGAGGGCACGTTGTCAATTAATTGAACGGCCCTGTGCAATTAACACACTGTACCACGTAATCGCACCTACTACGCGTTTTGGTGGAGGCGTGTTGCGCTGCCATTCATTTGAATAGTACCCCAAGTGCACCTCCCACCCACAGATCGATCGCCCGCAATGCAGTGCGTTTCATTGCAGTGCAACTTGTGCCACGACTTAATGACCAAGGACAAATGTGGGTCCTGAGGTTACACAGGTTGAGAACCACTGTTCTAGTGTGGTAATAATGGGGAGAAGCATCCTGATGATCTTCGTGAGGAGAGCTGAAAGATCATAACATTGTTATGAATATGCTCACTCACCGTATCTTCAGAGATAAATCAATCAATCATTGAAATAACATAATTTATAAGGCGCATGTATTTTAGGCTCTTTGCACATTTCCAATATGTATAACATTGTGAATGTATCTCATTCAATGTTGAAAGCATTGAATGTGCACTGAATTTGTAGTGTACAGTAGAAATACATTTTTGTAACTGTTCATTGAATGTCTGCCTAAATACCACTAGCTTTTGACTGATGAAAATTTGGAGGGTCTATGAAATAGCTATCGCTAATAGAGCCAAATAAGGTAAAATACCATTCAATAAAGGCTTTCAATATTAAATATGCATTTCTTTTAAAAAAGGTATTTAGGACATTAGATATATACTGTAACTAGGCTATTAAAAATCTGCTTTGATGCAAGCCACAATTCTAATTTATATGCTAAATATATTTTTTGATCACAAGAACGTTATGTGAATTCATTAAAATTCATAACAATTGCTATTATGTAAAAATATTATACAAAATCGAAAAAGCAGATAATGTACAAAATAGTTAAAATTAAACAAAATAATGGGGTCATGGAATATGTTAAAAGGGTTTAGATCATATATTTACCAGGCTTAATATGAATACACAAAAGTATGAATATTCCGTGGAAACCCACTTTGGAAATTGTATTGCACTGTTTTGCACTATTATTGCAATAAGCAATTGATGTTTTGGCATGTATACTAGAGCTGCAGCTAACGATTATTTTCAAAATCGATTAGTTAGGCGATTATTAAGTTCGATTAATCGGTTAAATCGGATAAAAAATAAAATACATTTATAAAAATGGCTCCAGTGATGGGACTACTAGTTTGTATTAAGATTGCAGTCCATCACAGGAGCAAGCTTGGAGCGGTGGAAGTAAAAAAGAAAAAAAAAAAGTGTGGTGTACAATATAGTGAAAGTTAAAAGGGTCCATTCTTTAATTCAATTGTAATGATAGAGAAACATTGCAGGTTGATAGGGCAGACATCTTCAAGTTTCATTCATACTCAAAGTGCTCCAGTGTTTTGATTTCATTAAGAGGGTTATGCACGAAGGAGCCAAAGGATCCAGCCGTAGCTTCGGCTGATCCTCTGGCTCACTTTGGCCGCTAGAGCCCTTCAGTTCATTCGAACCAAAGGGCTGCTATACGGGCTATTCACTTGTGAATGATCTTAGGATTACGTCGGTGGATTCATTTTTTGTTTTTTGGGGGTTTTTTTTTAAAATACAGGACTTGTCAAAATCCTTTGTTGTGTTTTTTTTTTCAGTTAAAGGATTTTTTTTCTAAAAGTCTGGACTTTTTATTTAAAGTTATTTTAACCATTTAGTGAATAGGTAGGGGTACAAGTTCTCCTTACTCATTCATAGGGTGGGGCCGCACCTGGGTACCCTGAAGTGAATAAGCCCCCCCTGCCCGCACCCTCACAGCCAATGCCCCAGGCCTGTGGGGGAAGAGGCCCTTGTCCCCATCGGCACAGTGACAAGGTGCTTTTCCAGGGGCGTCCCTGAAAAAGCACCCTCCCAGTGCCGAGGGCATGTGGCCTGGTATGGCAGGAGGGGGGTGGGCGCCCGCTCGTTCCCTTTTTTCTACCCTGCCACGCCTGTGATCGAATCAAGGGTCTGGTTGGGAATTTTAGGGGGGACCCCATGTCTTTTTTCCCCCCATTTTTGGGGGTGGGGTTTCTCTATGAAATTCCTACCGGCCTTAAGGGCCTGGTATGACTTTGGGGGGGAATCCTACACACTTTTTTTATTTTAACTTGGAATCCCTCCTAAAATTCCTATCAGACCTAAAGGGACTTGTATGACTTTTGGGGGGAACCCCATGCTTTTTTTTCTTTTTTTTTTAAATGGGGTCCCTCCTAACTTTCCTACTAGACTTTAAGGGTCTAGTATGGTTTGGGAGGGGGACCCCACACTGTTTTTTTTTTCTTTCTTACATTTACATTCTTTCTTACATTTATTTAAATCATTTTTACACTTTTTTTTCATTTATTTAATTTTTTTTCTATTCTGCTCGCTACTCTATATGTGCATGCTTATCTATGATATGAGGAAACTGTTTTTTCTATCTATATGTTTTCCTCACAATGCAGTATTCACATGTAATATTCTTCTAAGCAAGTAAAACTTAACTCAGCATTCCTCAAGATCTCAGTGCTTCATCTAAACAACCAACAATGTATACAAGTTCCCAAGGTCAATGAATACATGTCAGGAACGCAGACTACGTCTGCTGAGACCAGCCCGAGGACGGCCACAACATCCCCGTCTCGTTGCTAGGCAACGGGCGGACGCTCCGCAATGCTCCACCTCCCCCTTCCCTACACAGCAGGACGAGACGACAGCGTTCCGTTGCTAGGAGACGCTCGGGTCGGGCTTCGTCTCCGGCTCCTCCCCCAACAATTGCTCTGCCTATTTAAGCCCTAGCAAAACACTTGCTCGACGTGCTAGCAAAAGAGCACGTCGAGCAAGCTACTAGGACCCAAGTAAAGGAGACCACCGAGAACCTGCTGCACCAGAACGTGGAGATCACCCTTCAGGACTGCCATCACACCAAGGCGACCACTTCACTT